CCTAGTTGGAAGCATTAACATTAACGTCTTTTTTTCAATCTATATTTGTGTCCTAACAGTTCAGTGTACAGTGTTCAGCTTCATTCTGTTCTGAGCCTGAGAAGATTGTGTAGCGCGGTGATTAATTTGTGTAACTTCTCCCACAGACTCTGCCAAATGAATCTGCTGCACAGCAATCAACGCTTTCACAACATGACAACAGTTTTTACCTGTGCTTGGTTTATTTTTAGTCGATATTTTATTCACCCGCTTGGAAAAGCTTCACTGTGGAGTCGGAGGAAGGCAGCCCAGGCTTTTAAACTCCTAATATTTTTCCTCAGTTTTTGAGTTTACTTTTATATTAGGCAAACAATACGATACAACAATCACTTTTTTTCTTTTTTAAAAACCAATCTGAGACTTAGTTTTGAAATTCCTACAGTACCACCTACGTATCACAGCCTTTCGGCCCAGTCTGTTGCTGCATCCTTAATAATAGGAATCAGTTTTGGACTGCAGGCCGGCCAGTCCAACACATACACTGCAGAATCCTTGGCATTTTCTGCTTAAATATTCAATGTTCTCAAACATGAAAATCCTCCATGACTCCTGAGCATAAATACACATCAGTACTACAACTACAGAGCTACAGAGCATAAATACACATCAGTACTACAACTTCATGAAATATTGACTATCATACCCAGAGTTGTACATTTTATGATTGCAGCTGAGGTGAAGTCACCTGCTTTACTTAATCATTATCTTGTTAATAATGCGGGGGTGCGATTGTGATTGGCAGCAACTGCATCACTGACGCTCTGTCGACGCTGCAAGGACCGTTGCCATGACACTGATAGGTGTTGTCACACTGCCATGTAACACTAACACAGTCAGGGAATGTGTGTGTTTAATATGCAGATATAAGGTTATTATGTTTATTTATTTTTTTGCTATGCATTATGGTGTTGTTGTTAAATGTGGAATAGACTTTGAAAAGCACAACCATCAGTAATAAAGTATATAGTATAAATAAAGTATTTTTAAGCAAGACTAAAACCTACTTTTAGTTTCCTCTTGTTCTGTCGTTGGAAACCAGATACAACACCTTAGTGGTCGGGTTTTTTTTTTTTCTAAAAACTTGTCTGGGTCTGAAGTGCAAGGATTGCATCAGGCAGGTGTGAGTCCCTGTTAGTCCTGGCAGTGTGTGTGTGTGTGTGTGTGTGTGTGTGTGAGTGTGTGCGCACACATGCATGCACTCTTTAACTGAATTTCCATTCCCGTCAGTAGAGCTGTGCACAAACTGTTTCAGCTTGAACCAAATGTCTCCGAGAGGAATAAATTAGTCTGTCATTTTTGGGAACAGTGTGTGTGTGTGTATGTGTTTCTGTGTGTGTGTGTTTCTGTGTGTGTGTTTGCACGTGTGCATTTGGTATTTTCTTAGGTTGTAGATATGTAAACTGTGTCATTCGTTTGTTTAAATTTTGCATTAATGTTGTGAATTATTTCTCATTTAAATGACATTAATATATAACAGTAGCTCACACGTACATATGGACAGGAACCTGAACTGGTAAAACTGCTACACCTTTAACTTTAACCTTAAATGAACTGCAATATTGGTCTAAATTCATGTTTCTAGTTTCCAATGTGAAGCTGTTGTTTAGGGACCGTGGTAAAGTTCTGAAGAGTAAAAAGAGAACACGGGACAAAGGAGTAGCTGCATGGACAAAAATGAAAAAAAAAGTTGTTGATATGGCCTACTTGTTGTACTAGGTATTGCATAATTTCATATTAAGTCTTTTTTTTTTAAACAAAAAATGTGACCACATCCCATAGTGTGGTGTGTGTACACGTTGCCTCTCGTCAAACAAAAAAACCCTAGAAAATGTGACCGCATCCCATAGAGTGGTGTGTGTACACGTTGCCTCTCGTCCAATAATCCAAGTGACAGACAAATGTGTGGAGAGGAGAAACAGACACCGCTTTAAAAAACCAAGCAGACAAACGTGAACACTGATGTGTCAATGCTGGCATGTGTCTCGTCCAATGTCCCCGAGGTTTGACGGATTTGACGGACAAGCCAGACATTTCCAGAGACGCTTGACGTCACTGCAGACGTATGTCACTGGATGTGGACGAATAGGGGTTGGATGAGGAGTTTGTTAGGACGAATAGGAGTTGGATGAGGAGTTTGTTACTTCTCTCTGGACAACAGCAGCGATGTTACAGCTGAAGTGATGTTACAGCAGGGCTGGTGTTACAGCAGGGCTGGTGATGCCCAAAAATAGGATATGATTTGCACCTAAAGACAAAGAAAATGCATGTGAGATGCACTCTAGAAATGGCTCCAGTTTGAGCCCTATGCCCAAAAATAGGATATGATTTGCACCTAAAGACAAAGAAAATGCATGTGAGATGCACTCTAGAAATGGCTCCAGTTTGAGCCCTATAGTGTACACATTTGCTAATGGGTCCCAAACACAGTTCTGGTAAAACGCTTCCCCTTCAGACACAGAAGCAGCAGGTCAGATGTTCTTCTGTCGCAGCTGGAACTAAAGAAGCAGCCTCTCTGGTGACCTGTCAGAGCCTTGTCTCTATAGGGAATCTTCAGATTCCCCCAGGCTGTTTGAGTAGAGTTCACAGGAGTAAGGAAAATCAGAGCTGCACTAAAAAAAGAAGAAGAAAAAGCTAATTAAAAATCTCATTATATCAGTATTTTCAAAGTTCTTTGAGCAGAATTTAAAACTGTCAACACTAAAATTGGTTAAAGTGGGCCAAGCGCTTCATGAGTCAGACATCGTGTCTGGGTCCTTGAATCCTTTTACTGTGATTAATTGTAAATACTTAGAGTCCAGCGTTTCTCAGCTCTTTGCTGTCGTGTGCTCAGAAATATAAACTCTTCTTTTTGGAGCACAGAGACAGAATTAATTCTGTTTTTGCAAGGATGAAAACCTTTGGATGATGCTCCTGTTAAAGATGATTTTCTGTAAAGGTTTGGTACAACGTAAACATCGAGTTGTGTCTTGTTGCACGTGGTTGGTTTTGCATCAAATGTGCTGTGTTTCTGTGTCACAGATCAAAGAATCAAGAACCAAACTCAGTAAAGCATTTTGAGTTAAGTTACGATGTCAGGGTTATGGACTGTTCTGACAGTTGTAATTGTAATGTTATATTTAAGAATGAGTTTTACAGCAATTAAACATTATGTCATGTTTGTTGGTGCCTGAAATTCTGAGTGTATGAAATTATTGGCGTCCTGAATGAGATTGAAACTAATGACTGTCTCTACAAGAAAATCAATGTACGAGCTGACAGTAAATTAGATTGAATTGGAGTTGAGATGAATCAGCTTAAGTCTGAGATTCAGTCATTTTTATTAATCACAATCAACTTACTGGATGTAAAGAACTTTTACAGGTTCATTAATAAAGACAAGACTTTCTCTGTTTTTGTTTCTTTTTTTGTTAAAAAGGCAGTTCACTTACTCTGAGAATCTTTCATACTTTAGTCCTGTTTCCCATCACTTCTGTCCCCGTTTGTCTCCTCACGTTGACCTCCATCGTCAACTCTTTTATTTTTATTTTTTTCCTCAGGTGAACAAGCAGCAGCTGCAGGCAGTGAAGGAGCGTTTCATGGCCTTCCTGAACGGGGAAACGCAAATCGTGGCAGATGAAGCTTTCTGCAACGCAGTGAGGAGCTACCATGAGGTAAAAATGATTTTTTTTGATGTGATAAAATGGTGGTAACTGGATGCTGCTGGTACCTGTCTGGACAAGAGCTGGTCGATGGATGGACTCTCAAAATGTTGCTGCTTATTGGTCCAAAAAGGGAGTTCTGGTAAAGAGTTCTCCCCTGACTTATCAGGCTGGAGTCTGAACGACTTTCTGTTTTTAAGCTGCTCCATGTTCACTTCCTGTCTGGTCCTCCTCCACAGTCGGGATAAAGGAGTTGTTGCTGAGCACTAATGGCACAAAGTAATTAAATTTAACGCCAACAACAAACTGAGTCAGACCGATAAAATCGATCCACATTTTTTCTGTTCGTGAGGAAGTTTATTTTTGCCTTGAAGAGCTCAGAGCTCTGACTGAAGAATCGTTTTTGGATGTTTTTTTTTTTACTTCTTCAGGGAAACACCTGAAATGTACAGTCACTTTATTTTTATTTCCGTTGGTTATTTCAGTCGTCACACCTCACTTATTGTTATTACTTGATATTTTTTATAAAATGATTTTATGAGTCTAGGACTAAATGTAATGCTGATAGATTTGCCTGTGGCACAGATGGAGTCTGCTGTGGCACTGAATATTAGCTCTGAGGTGAGACCAGGTTTATGTCATATACCTGAATAATAGGATAATGTAAACAACATACTCATTAGCACATAGTAACTAAGCAACATTTGGTCAACAAGCAGCTTGGTTCCACAACAGCCTGGAACATGACTGGATCTAGAAACTTGTGACCCTCAAGGCTAAGTGTCCGTCCTCTGACCAATTTACTGCTGTAATGTAGTATACTTTTGAGGCTCGTACCCCAGAGCAGGAAACAGAGCAGTGCCACCAGAAACGGTGGGGGCGTTGTTGTGCCTCACATGTAACCAAAACGGAGCAGGGGAAGAAATAAACCGTAAAACAAGAAAACATGGACGAGCATCTATCAAGTTTCCTGCCATGGGCAAAAATATTTTTTTAAAACAAATAAGAAATAATAAGAAGCGAATTGTGTTTCAGTCCCAGTAGAGCAGTACTTCAGTGGATTTATTGGATGTCGACTTTTTAGTGAAACCACCCGAAATGCTACATTAGCTTGGTTTTCATTCGGTTTTGAAATGTTCTGACTTACTTTACATCAGATCTCTGATTTCCTTGTCGTGATTGTGTTCTCCGAGATCGAGGTGCAAGAGCGCCTCGTGTTTTTATACCAAAAAAAAAAAGCAGGCATCAGGCGATTGCTGCTCAGATTCATGAAGACCATTTCTGTGCCGGAGCTGGAGGTGTTTGTTACCTGTAATTTAGTGTTTTAGAGCAGCTGGAGTCCGGCTGCTTCAGGTGTGTGACATTTCAGGAGCCCAGCAGGGAGTTGCTGCTCTGGCTGTAAGTGCCTCCAGCTGAACGATCCTTCATCCACATGACTCCTGACAGGGCCTGATGCCTGCTCTATTTTTGAGAACTAAGTAGGTGGAGCTTGAAAAAAAAAATGGTCAAGAATTCTGGGATCAAACAACAAGTGTGTTGTTTGTTTTAGCAGGAGATGCCAAACAGTTTTTCATCAAACTTTTTCTGACTGGACTGGGACCTTAACTTTCTACTGAGAATTGCAACATCAACAGATTTAAACACACACAAAAACAATTGTACTATATTGATCCCATATTTGGGAAATTGTTTTTGTTAGCAGCAGATGTGCTGTTAGCAGGAGTGCTAACCGCTACACTATGGAACTGACAATGTAGTAGAAGTTTTATATGAAGGAGAAGTGTTAACTTTAATAATTTTAATCTTATATCTGAGGTCAAATATTAATACGAAAGTATCAGAATACAACATTCTTAAATTCAATTCCACCGGGAGCAGCATTTCAACTAAACAGGAATCGGACTTCTTCGTCCAGCCTCGACGTCGTGTCACTTTCACTTTTCATCTGTGCTTTTACCTGGCAGAAAAACACACCTGCCATGTAAAGAGTCCCTGAACACAACACAACAGGAGGGCTGCTGTCACTCTGATTTCAGGCTGTTTAATGCATGTATTCCTCAGAGTGTGAGTGGGAGGACTGTATCTGTTTGTTTTGATACAAGTCTCACATGGAAGCCTTTTAATGGAGCATGAAAGTGGATTTACACTCGGTCCAGGCCTCTGTGCGCTCCAGATTGAAGCGTTTGGCATTTGGTATGTTGAGTGTATGAAGTTTTTTTTTTAAATTTATTTATTTAAATTTTATTTAGACATTTATGAAGACGTTTATTTTCCCTCTTGCTGAGGATCACAGAAGAGAAAAGATGCTGCCACAGCAGGAGTGGTGCATCAAAGGTGTCATGAACTGATGAATGAAGTCTCCCTAACTGTTCAGACTTTTGTTTTTCTACTCAGCTCTATGACTCTGGAAGACGATTCCTCAGAGTTTGAGTCAAAGTGGGTGTATTTTCCCTCGAGGGTTCACCACTGGAGATCGTTTTCCCTTATCGTAGCCTTTTATGGCCTATGTCTTTTTTTTTCTTCCTGCTCACTCATTTGGCTAATCTCATGTTGCCTCACCCTGTCTGCCCCTCAGATTTTAATTTCTAATCCAGCTTCATTCTGGACAAATCATCATCTTCCAGCTTGGCCTCCTGTGTTTTTATCCTTGGCTGTTTTTCTAAACTATACATTAAAAAAATATCTCAGTTGCATCTGCTGTCACATAAAAGTTCGACTTGACGTACTACGAAGTTAAACAAAAAGAGGAACGCCAACTTTTCAATATCATTTTCACAGATTCCACCTTCTGTATAAGCAGACTCTGGGAAATTGCAGCTTGCAGCACTTTCAAATATTGCTGTTCAAAGCTCAAAGATAAGATCCCGTGGATGGCAGGTGTATCCACGGCAGAAATGATGAGTTTTATAATGAATATCTAGATTGATTCTATTGTTTGGAGCCTGATCCAGCTGTGGTTGCCTGGTCAGAACTTGTGAATATGAATCCTCTGCACGAGTTGTTATTTTATAGCAAATGCATAAAGACGACCACCAACTGTTGTGGTGATGAAATTTTATCAACATTGTTTAGGCTGCAAAATAAATGACTTGTTATGAAATGTTATTCTGAATTTATTAGACCTGCTCTCACTAGTAACTATTTTTCATGACGACAAAGTTATATATGTATGTGTATATATGTGTGTCTATATATATGTATATATGTGGTATGTGTTTATATGTGTGTATATATGTATATATGTGTGTATATATATGTATATATGTATGTATATATATGTATATATGTATATATGTATGTGTATATGTATATATGTATGTATGTATATACTGTATGTACAGTACAGTACAGTACAGTACCTACTGTATATATACAGTATACAGTATATATATTATCATCCTCAGTGATACGTTTTATATTACAGCCTGTCACAGTTTTTACATGATTATAGCCTAAAGGTCTTTATAGCACATATAATTACATTTCTTATTAATTTGAAAAAACACTTATAAATGTTAAATATATTTACCTAGGAATCAGGCTGATCATCCACAGAGTACTGTATAAACTCAGGGTCCCTGAGTGCGATCCCTCTGGTTTATAGTGGCATCAAAGATTGTCTTTTAATGATAATCACCTTTAAGGCCAGGGCTTTATTTAAGTACAGTCTTCTGTTTTATTTAGTTGTGTGTTGTTTGTGCACAGGGTCACTAATGGTAAAAAACAAACAAACAGATGCACTTTGGATCAGGCAGTAGTTGCATATCATTGTTGGCATGGATGAGGCAGTAGTTGCATATCATTGTTGGCATTTTCATTTCAAGTGTGTTTATGGCTCTGGCTGTGGACACAGTTGTTCCTCGTATTTAATATAATGAGTGTGTCTTCATTTACTGATATGTCTGAGAACGCCCGTCCACGGCCCCGGGGGCAGTTGACGTTTCAGTTAGTGATGTAATAATGCCATGTGTCTGGTTGTTTGAGTGATTCTGTCGCTCAAAGTTTAAAGATCTCAAACACCGCGCTGTAACTGCCCGCTGTTAATAATTCAAAAAACAATTCAAAAGACACACAGCAAGAGTTCTTTTTATGTGTTAAATGCAACCTCCGTCTGACGTCTTATATCCTGCGACACTACGACTACGATCGGCTAGGCTGCGTTTTAATGTGGAGCGTGATGTTTTATTCATGACGGAGCAGGCGAGCGGTGTAGACTCACAGCTTTATTCCCACAGGTGATGGTGAAACTTCTAAAACAGAAATGTGGGAATGTACTGTATCTGTAAACGACACAAGCAGAGCAGCAGAGTGAGTCACAGTACAGTACAGTACAGTACAGTACAGTACAGTACAGTACAGCAATCCTTACCGGCTGGTTGTTGACTGTAACGGGTCATGTGACCTTGTGTTTGTTAGGAAACTACCATATTGTGCTCGTTTATGCTAAACTTTGAACATTACACAGTGTCAACTGATTAAAATTTGTAATCTGATTAATCACCGGAAAGCTGTGACAGTGATGTATCACAATGAATCATGATGCGTTCTGACCGTGGCTTGTAGAATGTGTAGCACCTTATTGGAGCTCATCAGCTTGATGTCATTGGTTCATACCTTTTGGGGTGTCTCTGATAGGTCAGTGCCCTACGGTGATATTTACCTGTTGAAATGCCATATTCTCTAAAGGTCAAACACAACCAGTATAATGAAGCCGTCACGTGCCAAAAAAAAAAAAAAAAAAACTGACGGCAGCAGTCACCCTACGACCTAATGGACTGTTCCTGCCTCATGCTGATTTGATTTTATTCTCAGGTGTGTTTTACAGCTGGATATAACCAGAATCAGGTGTGAATCAAACACATGTTTCTGTTGAAAAATTAAAGCTCCTGAGTGTGTTCACTCAGATGGTCTTCATCCTTCAACACTCACACTCACAGGGTCTGAGGACGGTCATCATCTGGGTCTCCAATCCCCCGAATCACAGCCTGGCACTCTGCTGGTGTGTAAATAATTTAGTGAAATTTTAAAGCAGCAATTAATTTGAGCAGCAGGGATGGAGGAAGTCTCCTGCTGATTGATTCATTAGTAATAATGCCTGACATTTGTGACACCAGAAAAATGAAGGAAGCCCTATAGAGTCCAGAGAGCAGTCGATGGGGAGCTGCTGCTGGACTGCTGACAGAAAACCAAAAATCCAGCATTTGAGTCATGTTTTTATAGGGTTTTAATCACGCTAGAACGCTTTCTCTATATGTCTCTGATTTAATATGGAAGGTTAGGTCAGAAGGTTCTTCAAATCAAATCAAAAAATGATTCAAATTCTCTCTAGATAGTTGTTCACATTTTAATGATTTAAAGGGTTAATAAATAAACAGCTTTATAATACAACATGACCATTGAGAAAAATCTAAAGATAAAACGTGTTTTATAAACACTTTGTCTTGAAACTCTTTCAGGGAGACGTTGCTGTATCTAAAAAAAAAATGTTAGAAACATCATGTACATAAAAAGATCCCCCTCTCAGATATTTCTTCATACGTCACATTGAATAACTTTTAGAAAATATTCAGATATCTCGCAAAAGCTCTGTCCAGAGTCTAAATTCTGAGTCGATAAATGTTTTTTGTCTAACGTGTGTCAAAGAGCTGCGTTGCCTTGGCAATGTGAATTTCTTTATAAAGGTCAATTGTTATATAAATGTACATAGAGAAAGAAATGGATGAAATCATGGAAATTACATTGTCTTCAACAGCAGGAGGGGCGGGGGGGCAGGAGCCGGTCCTAGCATTCACCCTATGAGGGCGAGGTACAGCCTGAAGAGTTTGTTAGTGAAAAACTCTCATACTTCAGGATGGGTTTTAATCCATATCTATCTACATATAAACCTCTTTGACTTATTCCCATATGTACAGTCTCTTCTCTGAACCTTCACTGACAATGATTTAGGTCAGTGGTTCTCAAACTGTGGTATGCGTACCACCATTGGTACGCGAGCGTTCTCTAGTGGTACGCAGGGAAAATTCAGATTTTCACATTTGGATTTGGATCAGATGATCAAAGAGTCAACTACAATTACTTTAAGTGTGGAGTGAACACGTAGGTTCGATCAAAGATCTAGGGTTAGAATAATGAGTCGGTGTGAGGATTGTGATTTCCAGGCCTTAATAAAGTGCACGGAGCCTGTAACCTGAAGTGTGATTGCTCCTGTGATCAAACGTCAGAGCTGAGTTCTTCTACAGCCCCCCCTTCAGCTCAGAGAGAACAAAAAACAGTAATTATCCTGACAAGGAGGAATCACCTCTGTTGGTTAATGAGCCACGGGCTCCTGTATCAGTCCGTCTCCGTGATTGCTAGGACCCAGTGGTTTTGTGAAAGTCACCGGTGTTGATATTATGACTAGATTTCACAGCGGTATATTTTTCCGGTGTCAGACTATTTCATGCAAACATAAGTGTGTTCTTTTGTTCTTTGCGCCGACAGAACAGTTTGCTTCGCTCTGACTGCCAGAGTCAAACCGGCTGCTGATGTTTGGCTCCTCTGGTGGCAGCTACATCTGTCACCTCAATCTTAATCCACTCTGCTGTTTGCCATTTCCATCCATCACCACATAAAGGACTCTCTCCGTGTCATCTCTTTACATCACTCAGCCTGCTGTCTTTAAATCTCACTCCTGATTACTTCTTCAACAACAACACATTTGTTTTCTCAGGGAGTCACTCTCCGTCCTTACAGTCTCTTATATGGACACACTCCTCGCACTCCAACGATCTCTGTTTCATCTCATTTTCATCACTGATTTCAGCTTGAATACCTTATGATCCAAATCAACAGGTGAGATCTTGCAAAACAAAAGTTTGTCCGAAAAAACTTTTTTTTCTTTTTCATTCTTGCAAAAAATTTGTATTGGCAAAACAATGACCCACAAAGTTTGACTGAAAAAACTTCTTTTTTTTTTTTTCATTCTTGCAAAAAATTTGTATTCATGGAGAAGGTAAAAAATATCAAACAAAAAAACAGCAGTGACTCTTTTAGGATTTTTTCTTTTCCAGACACGTCGCCTTTGTTAGAATGGGTAGTGTGAGGGATTCAACACAAAGAGCTCCGGCCCCCAGTGTGTACTCCTATGGTTGTGTTGTAGAGGCGTCAGTGCATGCAATCGAAAACCCTCGTGAAAACTGTGAGGATCCATAAAGAAAGGAGAATACGAGCATGGTTTGATAGAAAACTTGAAGAAGTCAGAGTTTGAGACACTCCTGAAGATAAATTGGCTGGGATACCGCCAAAGAATGGCCTCCGAAAAGTACTTTAAAAAAAAACTGCAGCCTTTTGTTGTGCACAACTGATTGTAGGGATTGTGGAGTTTTTTTAATGCTGTTGTTCTTTCTTTATTCCCTTTGTGAAAGGCTTTGTTATCTTTATGATATTATGGGTAAAAACTTAAAAGAATTGCAATGTTAGAATCTTAGAATCTCTGAATACGTGTATGAAATATTGAGGGGATCAACCACACAATCTGGGAGAAAGAAATTCACGTGGATTGGAACAGTTGTCGGGCTCCCCATACTGATGTTTCCGTTGTCGTTCTGGTCCCTCACATCAGTCCACTGCTTTCTGTTTCCATGGTATCAACACTTACTGTTCTTTTATTGCAAACCATTCTCAGCAGAAACCGTAGAGCGATCATTTTGGACCTGCGTCACAGTACGCCGTGCACTTCCTTTGAACAGGTGCGTTCTCACAGCGAACCATGACAACTGCCGAGATGAAGATCACAGTCTCTTATGTGACAAACGTTGGCTTTTCAGCAGAGGTTTCTTTTTTTTTTTTTTTTTTAATTCAGAAAGACAAAGCAGTTCAGCCATGACGTGATCACCCAGCAGCTGATGAATGTGGTCGAAAACAGTAGGAAAAACACGTCTGTGTGCTGAAATACTAAACATACAGAAGAAATGTTCCTTAAATGTGCTGAGAACAACTTCTACACATTAAGTGACTCTCAATATCTGCGTATCTGATTCTGACAATTTCATCCCCAGAAGAACTTATCCATTATTTATAATTACACAAAATCTCTGCAGAACCGAGCTGCCGATCAAAAGCTGTGTTTCGGTCCCACTGGGGCTTCATAAATCTGAAACGACTGCATAAAAACACACATAAAAAGCCTGGTTGTTTTCCTTTTCATGACTTGGGCTGCTCCTCTCAGGGTTTACAATAGCCCCATTAATTATTTTTTTTACCAGTTTATTGCCTCAGAGCAGTTTAACATTTATTTCTTTTATATCTGACATTTACCACTTTCTTCTGTGAGATGCACAGCGTTTTGTAGACCATAAAACAACTGTTTAAAGGTCCTGGGACATGTCGGCTGAAGGTGGAACAACTTCAAATTGCTAGGTGCAAAATTCCGTCAATTTTATGGTACTGGTCTTTCTACTCAGTGGTCTGGTTTTCAGTTTTGATGTTTTTTTCTGGGTTCTTGAGTTATGTTTTCCTGTAGATAAACTTGTTATACTCTGCACCACCTGAGAAAACACTGAGCTCTCAACTAACTAAAAAGACTTTCCTTGTTCGTGTTATTATTCTTGCAGACTGTGAAAACGACTGTATACCGTATATTTCCAGAGGTCCAGATTGTGTTATGGACTTGTTTGTATCTCAAAAGTTTTCTCGACTCACGACATTCAGCCGTTCAAAGTTTTCCAGTGACTCACACGAAGAGGTGAAGCAGCCGAGGAAGCGATTGTTTAATGTTGCATAGAACTCCTGCTTCAGTCTGAGCCATTTATTTTACTGTCAAAACTCACCTTCTGCACAGAGCGGAAAATGTAAATGATCCAAATGTTTTCTAGACCCAATGAATTCTTGTGTGGAGGAGGACAAGTGCAGAGAGCTGCAGTCTCTGAGTGTTTGATGACTTTCTGAGTAGAGTTTGAATAAGTAAACCCAGGTCAGATCGTCCACTTCTGAATTATTATTAACAAAAACTGATGACGGGGTAAAAGAGATATCTTTTCCTTCTTCTGTGGTAGGGGTTCCTGAAGAGCGAGCGTGTCTCCAGGATGGTTCAGAGCGGTAGCTGCTCGGCCAACGACTTCCGTGAGGTCTTCAAGAAGAACATAGAGCGACGCATCCGTAGCCTCCCGGAGATCGACGGCCTGAGCAAAGAGACCGTGCTGAGCTCCTGGATCGCCAAATACGACGCCATCTACAGAGGGGACGAGGACATGCGGCGTCAGACCCAACGAGTGCATTTGAGCGCCGTGTCTGAGCTCATCCTCAGTAAGGAGCAGTTGTACGAGATGTTTCAGCAGATCCTGGGCATCCGAAAGTTCGAGCACCAGCTGCTGTACAACGCCTGCCAGGTGAGTCCAGTCCAGTGATTTGTGATGAAGTGACAACGTCTCTGGTGTTCACCGTGGGGATTGTTACCTGGAGGTTGTAGACGAACTACATGTTTTTTGTTTTGTAAAACATGTCAAACTGATTCCCAGAAAAGTTGTACATTCCTAAAAAAAACATTCAGCAACTTCAGATCCATAATTTCATAACAACCATACATCGATGCCAAAACAGCTCAAGAAATAGTCAATAATTCAGGACCGTCAGCATCAAAAGTTAATATTAAGTCGGTTGAGATCCGACCAAGGGAACTGACCAGTGCTGAATGTGTGTGACCATCAAACCTTCAGACAGTATTACAGTGGTCAAT